CAGTGTCCCCCATGTCCCCAGTGCCCCCATCTCCATCCTGGGGTGCCTGGGGTGCCACTGCAGAGCTCTGGGGCCTGTGGGGCTCCCCAAGAGTCCCCCAGATAAAGAAGGGTGGGCTGGGTGCCCCCTGCTCCTTATCAAGAGCAGATCCAGAGGGTGGCTGGCAGCAGAGCCCTYGGTGACAGGGGACACTGCAGGGAGAGGGAGCGCCTGGAAAGGACAGAAATCTCACCCAAAAATGTGATGCCACCCAAAGCACCCTCTTCAGGGCAGGAAAATGGGGACCCAGGGCCATCAGTGGATCACTGCTGAAGGGAGGCAATGCCAGGACAGGATGGGGGTGACCAGCACCCAGCACTGGCATTTATGGGGACACTGCCCCATGACAGCATCCCACATCCCCACATGCTACAGCCACACGAGCCAGAGCTCCCCCTGACAGCCCCAGAGTGATGGTTTCCTATAAAAAACATTTGAATTTGTCATGCAAATGACYGGGCATGTGGGCACAGCTGCTGAGAGGTGGCCTGGGCCGGGTCAGCTGCCAGCACGGCCACGGGGATGTGCCCAGGACCTGGAACCTGCTGAGCAGATGGTGCTGCCAGGGCTGCCCTGCCAAAAACACCCAGCCCTCACCTCCTCCCACTCCCTGGGGCTCCACCTGTCCACACTGGGGATTTTAGAATGAGAATTGTGACACCCCTGCTCATCCCCTCCCTTGGCAGCACAGATGAGGTGCCCAGGACCAGCTTTCTGTGTGCTGGGACAACACAGGTGCAGGTGGAAGGGGATGCTCCATCAAGCAATGCACCAAAAAGAAATAAAATTACACTTTTAATCGATTTCAAAGTGATTTAAGCTCTTGCCCGCGGTTTCACAGGTTTTTGCTAACAGGAAGGCAGCAGGTTGGGCTGTTCTGATGTGGCTGTTTCTGGATCCAGGGATGGCCCTCGGGTGCTGGGAGCGCCGCCTGTGCCCTCTCTTCCTGGCAGTTTGGCCACCTTTCAGGAAACCAGACAGCTAAATGGAAAATCATCACCCTTCTCACCTCAGAGTGCACTGCACATGTGGGTTTTCTCAGCAGCAAATGGATTCCCAGAGCTTTGCTGTCCCCATGGAATGGGGGATGTGGGTCCCCAGGGCAAACAAAGCCCGGCTCAGCACTGCCAGGCACCCCAACGCTGCTGGGCTGGGGCCAAGAGCTCCCCAGCAGCTCCATCCAAAAACCTTCCCCTCCCTCCTCCTCCTCCTCAGGACTCCTGACAGCAGAGAGAAGAATTGCTGAATAATCTCCAGCCCCGATAGCACTTCAAAGGCAGGGCTCGGGCCAGGCTGGATGCGGCGCTYGGCTCCTGCTCCTTTGGCAGCCCCRCAGCRTATCCAGAAAGTAATTACTTAAAAAGGAAATAAATGTCACCCACATGGCTGYGAGCAAAACCCCGGGCAGGGTGAACAGAGCCCCAGCAGGATCTGCATTCTCACGCAAGGCCAGCGAGGCAGGAGCAGAGTTGTTTCCATTCATCGGGATGGGCTGTTTATTCTGAGCGCTGCCGCTGACATTACACATGCCCACCGCGGGCATTTCAGTTCCCCAGGGCAGCCAGGGTGYTGAACTGCCTCTGCTTTCCTCCTGTGGCATCTTCTCCCCCCAGGATGGCTTCAGGCATCRCCACCTGGAGCAGCAGCAGGTGCTGGTGCCAAAAACACCAAATTCCTGGCACCGGGCCTGCCGTGACCTTTACGAGATGAACCAGATAGCTGGCGTGATCAAACAGAATAATTTTATTTACTTTTACAAAAGGATTTTTTCAAGTTTGTAATTGTCAAAAGATGAACATTGAACTTCTAAAGCAAGTTGGTTGGGGGAAGTCAAATGCAGCAGTGACAGCAAAGGAGCCTCAAGGGTGAGGTCTGTGCTGCCGACACCTGCCTGGCTCTGCTGGGTCTGAAACACCCTCAGAAAATGCCCTTAACCAGGCCAAGGCTCTGGCAAAACAATCACTTTCACATGGATTCAATTTTAGAAAAAAACCTCAATTTATTGTAAGAAATAACACAAAGGGACCAGAGGACTCTGGGATGAGATCCCCCCTGTCCCTGCTGCCCCTGGAGCTGCACGATGGCAGCAGCTCCCACCCTCTGCTCCAGAGCGTGAGGAAACCCTTGGAACCAGCCCACGGTGATGCCTGGGGATGTGCAGAGTGGGACAGCACRTGGGACACGCTGCAGGGTGGTGACACCCCCGGGATGGCAGCAGGGGCTRTCCCCACGGGACACGGCTCCAGCCCACCCCGGAGCACTCGGGTTCATTGGGAAATGCCCCCTAAGGCACTGCAGCCAAGCAAACATGGTACCATACAGCATCGAGTAATTTTAAAAGTTAAAATAGTTTATTGCTGTCTTTGTAGAAATGCACTTAACTTACATCGCCTGTTCTCTTCCTTTATTTGGCTGTTGGATTACAGGCATAAAAAGGTTACATTTACCCATTTGTTCAGTGACGTGACACCTTTTTCTCYACTGCTCCACTCCTGATATTCTCCYAAACCTTGCTGGCCAACAGCCCMAAATCTCTTTTACATAAATACTGTAAATGTCTCCATAGGTTGCAGCATTGTAACAAAAGATCTACCAAAGTAGACAAAATGTTCAGTATTCTTGGTTGGTTTTTTGCATTTAAAAATATACCTAAATTTGAGATAATCTTAACAGAGTAACAATTACAATAAGAAAATAGTACAGTGCGTTGACTAAAGGAATATTCTGCTCTCCTTCAAGCCAATATTCCCTTTTGCATGTTGAAGTGATTCAGCAATTACTTAAGAACTTTTACCTACATACAATAATTTAGTAAAATGAGAATTAAACAAGGCAGATACTTACTACTATTCTTCTGTCTGCAATTCACAGCTCATGCGAATAAAATCGCAATAAATATTAAAAAATAGTTTTTCTTTTGCTTTTTTTTTTTTTTTCTGTAAGGCATCTCTGAGTATTACAAAGTTTTTGTACAACCAAAAAATAAGATTGCTTTTTTCCATGTTCTCCGAGTACCTCTGTACCTCACCAGTAAATAAGAGGATTGTAGGTTGGAAGGGCTGGCGGGGAAGGGGGCGGAAAGGAGACCACGGGTGATGGAAGCAGACCGCGATGCGTGCAAGAATCTGCAGTTCTCCTGTGAAACATTTCAGCCGCTTTTAGAACATCCTCAAGACAGTATCTGTCCAGATTGAAAGGGACAAAAAAAAAAGGAAAAAAAAAAAACTTACCAGAAGTCCACTTTGATAAGCAAGGATTCGAGTTCGCCCTCAACACTATAAATAGCTCAGGTATCAATATGCACCTACATAAGGGGGACAAAGGGATGGGGTGATTTTTTTTTTTTGTCGTTTCGCTTCTTTTATTATTTTTTTTTTTATTATTATTTTATTTTTTTTTGCGCGTGGTTTCTCTGTCCTGGCGGAATCCTTGCGCGGTCGGTGGCGGATTGTCCCGGCTGGGTGGGTTTTTTCTCTCACTGCATGCGGTCGGGCTGCAGCTGCTGGGGCTGGTACTGCACGAAGGCTGCGGGCGCTGCGGGCGCGCTGGCGCTCAGCGGGGGCTGCACCGTGCCCGTGTAGCCGTAGCCCACGAAGCCGGCGGCGGGCGAGGCGGCGTAGGGGTACTGGTCGTAGGCAGCTGTGGTGTACTGCGAGTAGGCTTGGCTGGCGGCCGTGTAATCGATGTAGGGAGACGTGATGGACTGCACGGGGGTGGGGATCACCACGCTGGGCTGCAGGATGGCTTGGGGGTACACGTAGTGAGGCGTCAGGCTGCGGGGTGAAGGGACAGGGTTAGTGAGGGGCTGGGCTCCCCACACCCCTCTGCCCCCTGGATCTGTGGGTGCCAGCCCAAGCCAGGGGTGCTCTCGGGTGGGGATGAACAGCAAACACCCCTAAAACCCCGATGGCTGCAGCCCATATACACCCTCTGCTCCTCACAGCTCGGATCTCCCCCTGCCCAGGCTGCCGCTGCCCAAAATAACTCCGTGAAGGCTGTGACATAGCCCCTGGCTCTGTGCATCTCCGCAACCCCCACTCCCCTGCCTGTCCCTGCCAGCCCTTCTGCCCAAAATCACTCCCTGGAGGCCGTGACACAGCCCCTGCTCCCCTGCCCACCCTTCTGCCCAAAATCACTCCCTGGAGGCTGTGACATAGCCCCTGCTCCCCTGCCCGTCCCTGCCAGCCCTTCTGCCCAAAACAACTCCGTGAAGGCTGTGACACAGCCCCTGGCTCTGTGCATCTCCTCAACCCGCACTCCCCTGCCAGTCCCTGCCAGCCCTTCTGCCCAAAATCACTCCCTGGAGGCCATGACACAGCCCCTGGGGACACAGCTCCAGGTGACACAGCTCCAGGTGACACAGCCCCTGGTGACACAGCCCCTGGCTCCGTGTACCTCCTCAACCCCTGCTCCCCTGCCCGTCCCTGCCAGCCCTCCTGCCCCTCTGTACCCTCCAGTCCCACCACCCAAACCTGGCTGGAGGGTCCTGAGGCTGCACAGCCCCTGTGGGCACCCCCTGGCACCAGGGACAGCGGGTCACTCTCCTTTTGTCCCACCAGGGATGACCACAGCCCCCAGCACGCCAGGTGTTATCAGTTACTACACACTTACACCGTGTTTCCACAACACTGGSTATTTGGGGCAATGCTACAGGGTGTTTGTTGTAAAACACGAGGTATTCACGCTGCTTTCCTCTCCCCAGTGACACTCCCCAATGACAATCCTGTGTCCCTGAGCTGTCACATCCACCCCTGGTGTCTCCGCTGCCCTTTCCATGAGGATCCCCAAAATTCTCTCAGGTTTGTCCCTGCCCTGAGGTAGCAGTGCTGCTGAGAGGAACTTAACAATGTCACAGTCAATTAAAGACCGCAGATGGAAAGATCCTGGAGGTGATTTATGCAGGAGTGCCCACTGATTTGTTAGAAAGTGCTAATGAGGAGGAAAGGGAAGGAAAAAAAAGCGTCAAAATGAAAGGGTTGAGTTTTCCAAAGGGCCCACGTCCAGTCAGGCCTCAAACAAGGCAAAAACTGTGCAAACCTGAAGGATTAGGCACATCCACATGAACTGCCACAGGCCAGAAAAACATGGGGAACTGCATGTGGCCCGCAGAATGCAGCAGGGTGACACATCTGGGGCTTGTTTAGAAAATGGGGTGTCAGACTATGACCAGCAAAYRGCCCAGTGCCAGTGGGAGATCAGAKCCACACACCCCAAAAAGGGCACCCTGCAGAAAAGGTCCCTTTGGCCACTGCTTGCTGAACCACGTAAAGCCCCAGCACGAACCAAAGCCATCCCCTGAAGAGCTTGTGCTACCCTGCCTCCAAACCCAACTCATTCTGGCAAATAAAATAAAACCCCGAGGCAAAACTCTGCAGAGGGCTTATGCAGATTCAAATATTTTGGGGATTTTTGTGTGGATGTGTGTGACAGCACATTTTCAAACACAACCACTTTGCAAAGCCTCCCACGAGCTCTTCACAAGGCACAGGGCTGTTTATGGCTACTCTCATTCCAGTGAGCACCCTAAACCTCAGCCACCCCCTGAAACACATTGGGCTCCACCTGGGGCTGCTCCCTCCCACCCAGCACTCACAGGGCTGTTCCCATTTCCTTTACAGCCAGCACTGGAGGGTTTTATCTCTCTCCAGGCAGGGGAAAGGCTTCTCACAAACAAGTGCTCATCTCAGCTGAGTTTTCTCTCCTTTTCCCACTCCCATATGCAGTTTGTTTTTGCTTGAGACAATTTGCATGACAAACACAGCAAGACTGCCTCCAAAATTAGGGTCCTTCCATATGCCCAGGGCACCAGGGAGGATGGGTGATGGTGAACATCAGTGCTAATTCAGTGCAAGACCTTCCCCTGAGGCCACCAGACATCCCTGGACAGCAAGAGGGACCCCAGAGCCCTTCAGTCCGTGAACACACCATACCCAGCACCACCCTGTGGGTAACAAGAATGAGATGAGGCAGCAGAAATCCATTGAATCCCTTTTTGTTTAGCTTTGATCTAAAGTAAGGCCAGCACAGCTGAATCAGGGCTGGAGCTCAGGCACTCCATGTCCCACACTCASCCCAGGCAGTGGCAGCAGGGCTCAATCCCACCCAGAGGCTCCTCACGCCTGCCACTGTGGGGTTTTCTCTTTCCTTTTGTTTTAAATAAATATTTTAAATATAAATTTATTTAAATAAATATTTAAAACAAGTAACTCAGAGGGGCAGGAGTGCTCTGTGGGCCTGCCAGGGTCTGGGGAAGGGCTCTGCAGAGGCACTGACCCTTGGACACGGCATGAGCAGATTCTGTCCGTGCTCACTGCCTGCATATCAGCTCAGACACTGTCCTGGTCACCCTGCACTTCACATCCTGCCACCAGGCCTCCTGGTAAACCAACAAACTTAAAACCATGCCACAAATGCAACAAAAAAAATGCACAATCCACTGAAAACCATGCAGCAGCAGGAGCAGAGGAGGAGCCTGCACTCTTCCTGCCCATAGGAGTCTGCCAAATGACCAGGAGCAGAGTTTGAGAGACTCCCAGCAACCCAGCCTGAGCATCACCCTGCTCAAACAGCTCCTCCGTGTCCCTTGCTGCCACCCAGCTGCTCTCCAGAGCTGGCACAGCTCATCTGGGGGACATGCTGCCATCAGGRCCAGTGGACATTCCCAGCTCATCCCAAGAAACTCCACATTGTTGTCTTTGCTTTCCACTCTCCTCCACGGCAGCTCCACCRTGGGCTCAGAGACAGCAAATCTCTAACACCCTGCACTACTTTTTTCCCTCAGAAATGAAAAATTCCAGCTCTTCAGTGCTAGTTGGAATCCAAAGCACCATTAGCTTGGAAGGCAGCGAGTATTCCTGTACTTCCAGAAACCCATCCCACCAGCCCAGGGCATACACAAACACACAACACACACAATGGCTGGGACTGCATGGAAAAATCMCACTCAGCAGCTCCAGGATCTGCTTCTAAAGGGAATTGTCAGTGTAAAAGGGAAGGTTCTTTTGGTTTGTGGGATTTTAATAATTCAGCTAGAAATTTCAATCGAGGTATTATGCAGTTTGGTCTTCTGAATGAGGTGGACAGATGGCAACTCATCGATCAAAACAAAACACACAACCCAAAGTAAGGTCACTTTGATGACTTGCAGCTACAAACAGAACAAACAAGTGCAGTAGGATGAAGTTCTYTGCTGGCTACATTTAACATCCACAGAAAATCTTAAAATATTTCCCCTTCTTCCATTTCTGAAGATGGTCTTTCAGGAATTATTTTTTTTTTTAAAAAATCAAGCAGTTCTGGAGTTCTCTTTCTAGAAAACAGCAAACTCTAATCTGAATTTCTACARGATGAGTCACATCTGTGTTTTGAGATGCCTTTCCCTTCCTCCCTCCCTGCAGTTTTCCTCCATCCCCCACCGTGGGCCCTGCCAGCCAGAAGAGAACTTCACCAAAAACACACACGGTGTGATTATAAAACACCAACCAAGTGATCAGCCGTGGCCACCGCACACCAAAGTCACCCCGTGCTCGGCAGACGGTGGCACAATGAGTCCTGGGCAAAGGCCACCCAACCCTGGGGCATGGCACACCTGAGCCTAGAGCTGGCTGTGACAGGAGGGACAGCAGGGACAGCAGGGCAGGGCCCTCGTGGTGCCAGCTCACACTCTTGGGCACCACAAATTGGAACAGAACAAAGCAATGGTGACAGAGCCATGGGCAGAGGGGACACGGGCTCTGTGTGGCTTTCCTGGGGACAGAACAAAAGGGGCCCCATGATGGTGCAGGGCTGGGTGGAGATGGGCAAATGTGCCAGGGGAGGCGAGTGGGGATGGCACCCTCGGCTCCAGGGAGATGAAAATGTCCCTTTCAAATCCTGCCATCACTCAGGTGTCCCCACCACAGCAGCAATGGGCAGCCAGAAGAGGGGACAAGCCAGGTGGAAATGTRTCCCACACCTCTCCCCAAACACTGAGGAAGAGGAATGAGCCCCCAGCAGCAGCTCTCTCCAGCAGAGCTCATCTCAGAGGCACTTCATGTATTTATTTTATATCAGACTTACACCGAAAATGGGCTTTGGCTGCACTCTCAGCTCTCTGCCATCCTGCAGGACCTYCTACACGTGAGCCATGAGCTGCTCYTGCAAGCTGCACGAGTTTGGGAGAGCAACAAGGTGGGAGTTGSTGTCCCCTCGATCTCTGCCAGCCCTGCTGGGAGCTGGTTTTGTCAGTTCTGAAGAGGTGGAGACAGCTGCACCCCTCTGCCAGGAGGGACACGGCACCACACAAACATTTGGGAAACGAGGAGGGGCACAGGRCTCTTGGCAGCCTCGCAGAGATCAGCATACAAATGCCACCACCACCACCAGCCTTTTATTCCTTGAAGAATAAAAGAAACAGAGCCCTTTGTGTCTGCCAGCRAAGGCACAAATTCTGGCATTTGACCCCAGGAATTTGGCCTCCATTTCCACTAGAGCTGACCCACAGAGCTGCCACGGGGACACCCACAGTGCCACAGCACGTGATGGCAGGCGGTGCTGGGGCACTGCAGAGCTCAGCCTGGGGATGGGACACCTCCAGGATCCAAAGGGGTGTTTGAARGGGCTTCCTGAGTTTAAAGCTGCTGGGGGAAGCACACCCCACACGTGCAGCAGAGCTGGAGATGCAGGCACACATCCTGGTGCTCGTCACACTCCGAGGAAGGGCTCCTGAAGGACACTCCCAAGCCAGCAAGCACTCACCTCAAGGAGACACTCACAGTGCAGGCAGGCTTGGCCA